TTACGAGACCTTGTAGATCGGATTTGACTTGTTCTCCGATCGTGACAGCAGTTTCTACACAATGTACGTTGAAATCACCCATTATAAGTATGTGAGTGTACTTTCGTTGTAAACTGCATCTTAACCGCTAGGTGGTAGTCAGTTTCAGGTGTAGAGTTAGGGAGGTGGTATACCAAGACAATAAAGCAAGCCTCCGTGCCTTTTAACTGCAAGCGGCACCAAAGAGAGTTGGGGAACTGTAAATCTGAATCCGCCAAGGTTTCGCACTGTAAGTCGCTTCGGTATTACAGGATTACCCCTCCTCCTTTTGTGAGTCTATCGTCCTGAATCAGCGACATGCCCGGTAGCGGCACTTCAGCGTCCGTCATTCCGGTGTGCAACCATGTCTCGGTGATATCAATGACATCAGATGATCCGGAAGCTTGGCGATCTTTCAGTTCGGTCAGTTTATTAAAAAGACCCTAAGTATTTGTATACAAACAGGCAAGTATCTCGGTCTCTAGGAGCCTACAGAGGGGTGAAGGGGTGAAGTGTGGGAGAATGCCGACCGATGGGAGGTCGGCAGTTACTACTTGTTTTGTGATAGGGTAATGATAGCTCGTCTGAAACTTGATTTGGCCAAGGTGCGTCCCAATCTTCATTCAGACCTACGTCAGTCACTTAAAGCAACCGTCAAGTTACGCTTCTTTACATTCGTCGGCACGCTTGCTGCTTCAAGTGCTTTAATATTTAAGCTGTGCAAAGCTTCAACGACCTTAAACCGAAGTTCAGAAAGAATTCGTTTCCAGTTTCCCCGCCATCGATCCAAAATATCTGTTGCCTGTTGCTCGGACTGAACCACAAGTTTTAGGATTCTAGGGCCACATCCTCTATAATTTGGTGAGAGAGTTATCCTGGTGAGCTATAGCGCCACAATATTATCCAAAAATGTGTTTCACGAAAGAACCGCCACTGTTCTAAATAATTTGGTACATTGGTAGCCCGGGTTGGTTGCTCACCGGTTGATCTTTTCTCCGAGCTTGATAAAGGGCTTGCCTACTTTTCACCACCATGCAAGTTGTCATCTTCAGTGCGGTGATATGTTCTTAATAGTGCTTTCCGGTCTCTTGAACATCGTTAGAAGGGTGTTCTGGCACGCCGTGTATGAAGCTTGTGTTTAGGCGGTCGTGCTTGCTGTGTCCCTCTTCGGTGTTTCCTTCTGATTGTCGCGCGCTCCAAGAGACATCAGGATAGATGCATATCCCACAGGATCCTTGTTTTAGCGCGGTTGCGGAGAGTAAAACGTTTTCTACGTCGGTGGAGGACTCTAGAGTTACTCGAATAAGTCTGGGTTCACCATAGTGTGGTGAGTTCGGAAGCCGAGTAATTCGCAATAAGTTTCTGGGCTTGGCTTTGACACTCATTAACACGCACAATGAGTTCCACGGGTCTTGGTCTTTCGACACTTTATATCACAATGTGATGGCGGTAGATTCAGGGACATTTGAGCATACAGCAGTCCGGACACTACTGTTGGATCCCTTTTTCGTTGATCTACTAGGTATGGTACTCGTTTGTCCTGACCTGCTGACCAGTGTTGATTGTTTGCAGTTAGTTCCTCTATTCGCGTTAACGGTGTTTACAATGGAAGTGGCCGCAACGGCGGCATCCGGGTAGACTTTATCAGCAATCTATGCATATGTAACTGATGTTCCGGGGCACCTTATCTCGACAAGAGACATTTGAGCTAGAGGTACCGAGGGTTGGTGTTCGGTTGCTTCATGCTTGTTAATGCTAGATGTCAGGTCTAGTGGAAGTTGCTTAACCAGACGTTTCGAGTGGTGCCTGATTCCGTTGCCATGAGTACTGTTTGACTCTAGTAGGTACGGTCAGTGTCCGCTCGGCGTTCTACCAAAGTTGGAAAAGACCAAGGAGATGGGGAAGTGGCCGATTGCGGTTCAGGGGAAGCTGTTTGTGCAGCATTCCGTTGCTTAGAAGCCGCTATGCTTCCGCGTTGCATACTCGTTTCCATTGGAGCCATCTTATCGTTTATCCTCTGCTCGGCTTTTGCGGTTAACCGGTCGTACTTCTGAACTAGGATAAGCAAGCACTTAATAAGTAGGATGACGGAGTAAGCAGTACAGAAGCAAAGTGCATTTTGGGAGCTATTTCGCTCTCTTACCTGTTGTTGGGACACATTTACACATTTCGAATGATACCATTTCAAACAGTGCGAGCAAGTCAGACCAATTTCAACTACTCGATGACATTCTCCTAACCAGAAAATACCTTTCACTTGGAGCCTTTTCGGATTCACATTTCTGCCATTCAACATGGTGTCATTACCTGACCCAGTGGGTAGGTTAGCTTTCTGTACTTTTCCAGCTGAGAGCCGCGCATATCGGTCAGGCGAATGTGGTGGTTGCAATGTCAAATGAGCGGTTGGTGTGCCCGCGAGATCGGTGTGATGGGTTGTGTGGCTGCACTGGCTGACAAGGTCACAAGGAATGACGGGTAACTGGTACTTGCTAACTGGATCTGAACACAGCGCTGAATACAGATCGAGAGATCACAAATTCTTTCACAGTGTGTTGAAAAACGCCGGATCTGAATGAGCTTGGGCTATTCGGACTACCTCGAGAATTCCGTATTGAATGGTGTCACACAGAAAGGCAATCGGCTCATTGTGATTGATGGATCCGCTTGCGCTTAATCAGGGAAGCCAGCAAAAAGCTTAGTGATGGCACGGACTCTAATCGTAAGATATTTCCACGTTTGATGGATCACTGTGTAAGGCTGGTACATCCGGTTCGAATGAGCGCACAGTGACAACGCTGAAAAAAGACGGAGAGAGGATAGAGAGGAATAATCCAAATGGACCAGGAGCACGCGCGTCATGCGTGTGTGTGGATGACTTTGATTTGAGTTCGTTCAAATGCCAACAACTGCTCGAGATGATCGGATCCACAGTTCTGATACGAAAAAGTCAGAGCAGTTTTATCAAGGAACGGACTACCGCTAACCTACTGTCATGCGCGTATCTGATAAACATAATTCCTCCAATAGTACTATTGACAGTGGGGCGGATTTCGGGTAAGTTCTGATCGGTTAAGGTCCCAGTCATTTTACTCCCCTGTCCTATTCCTCCAGTGTTACACCGGATATTTGTTGCCGGATGGAGGGGTGGTGTTCGAATATCAGTATGCTTAGGACCCAGTGTAGGTGCAGGCGTTTTGTTGCAATTATAGTGGCACGCAACTGGACAAACTGAGATCATCGGCGATGAACAGCCAGTATCAGTTGTCGTACATGTGGTTTCTTTGGACGTTCGTTCCAAGGCTGGAAAACCGGTCACCCAGGCCCACTTATCAGATGGCGAGAACGATACAAGAGGAACAGTTGGCCATTGAAGAAATGTTTTCTCGTAAATTGTAGACCCATGCAGGCTGGCCACCTGGGTATGTCGCATCTCGATGGGGATCAGCCTTTACTAGCTAGAGTAGGAGGTGGTGAGTTTAAACTCCTCACAGGGATGCAGCAGTGCACACTTATGGCAAATCCCAGCTGCAGGAGTTGGCTATCTGACTGGGACGGCGTTGGTGGATCACATTTGAGCCACTTAAATCCCCCCTGCTTTCTGGCTTCTCAGGTCACCGCGCTCAGCCACGAAGTCAAGCGTCTCATGCTGCTACTGTGCGGCCCGCGATACATCTGTTAACGGCACTCTCCAACGTTAGAAATCAGTCCAGCAAAGGATATATTCTCACCACGCGTTGGATCACATACTTTTTGATCAGCTCTATCTTATTAAGCCGAAGGTATGCAACATCTATACGTTGAGAATTAATGGCCAGAGTAATCGGACGGCTTTACTGGATTTCCAACACTTAGACAAACGATCAGTTATGCGAACAACAAGCATCACGGGGGGAACGTTTACTCTTTTGCATTTCATCCGACTTTGCACTTCGGTGATACAGGAGAACCAATCGGTTATGACACACTGATAAGACAAAGAATGGTGCCTCTGGTGAATAGATAATATCGACAAAAGTAAGCCACAGCCCACACGACTCAAGGAAATCGGTTAGAATAGTGTATGGCATGTTAAGCGGTTCGCCTGATTAAAAGCTGTCGTGTGTACACTGTACTCCGTTGAATCTCGTCTTCCGCTGCATCATTGGTGTATTTCACTAGAACAGTGTAGCGGAATAAAAGTTAGACGTCTTCACTACATCACCAAATTTTGCGCCGCAATACGATCTAACCGTCATGAGATTGCGCTACGGTAGCACCGGGGTTAGAGTTAGAAATAAAAGTCCGAGGTAGAGTAGCCCTTCCAGATGATTTAACCAAACTATAAATTAAGTGACATCAGCGACACATCACCGATACCGAAAAAATGGCAAGGGCCGCGGCTAAGCAACGGTTATGTTACGTTGGTGAAACTGCTAACGTTGTAATCAGGTATCTGGCTAACAACTACAAAATCGCACATTTGCCATAATTCACCACGCAATTGGTCAGTATACCTGCTGGATTTTAGATAAACTACACATACATATCGTATTGCTGCTTCCATCCAGTAAGCCGTAATCGCATAGCCGTATATTTGGCTTATTCATTCTGGTAACTTTCTGTCCACGGTCCTAGTGTTGAGTGCGCTAGATAATAAACTCATCTGATCAACTTACCTGGTGAATAAATCACAGAGCCCTGACGGAATTGAGCGGTCAACTAAACCTACTTAGGTGAATTGGTTGCGCCAATTGCGTTCCACGTAATCTCAGTTTGCCCTACAGGATGCGCGATGTGAGTACATGTTCGGTTACAACTCCTTTTATGGATCAGACAAGTGTAGGAAATTTCGTAAACTCTGCTAAAAAGAAGTTTTACTCATTAATATCATAGTGTGCTGTAAATGACAAGTTGAGCAGCAGACGTATCGTCGGTAATCTATCAGCGTCCCGCTAAATGCAGAAATAAAACTTTTTCATTTGTCGCTACACAACCTTTTGCAGTCACGAAGGTGATCTCAGCATGGTCTGATTGGTATCTGACGAACGAGGACCCACAGTTGTGGACGACAGAAAGAAGATTCCGTGCGGAATGTCTGGCAACAGTACCCGAGGTGGACAAACTGCAAGCCTCTATCGATCTGCAACAAGGTCACTGTAAGCAGCGCTGGGATGGTGCGTTGGACTGTAGCCCCGTAGGTGAGTTCATACTGGTTATGTGACTTACAGTCGGTGAACACCACAATTTTTTAACCTGCAACGGCGTGTACCTGCTGTTTAATGTGCGGACGCACTGGAACCGCCTCTGTTTCTTGTCGGTCTTGTGTGAAGTTCAAATAAGTACATGCTGTCCGGAGGTGTAACTATTCCGAATCGGGTCATCACAAAGCTTCTACGTGCATTTGGTCGAAAGGAAAGGAGATAGCTTAGTCTGTGGACGAAAGCACGCCT